AACAATAGTTTAGCTTAATTAGTAAAGATATGGCTTCCTTGAGCATTGTGCTCTTTTAAAGAACTATCTGTATATCCAACTGACAACAGCAACTGGAAAGAGTAGATAGGAAACTTAGGGGGCAGTGAGTTTATGTTAACAGAGGAGGAACGACTCAGAAAAGGAGGGTGAAAATGGTTGCACAACTTGAAGAATGTCATGAATGTCAACTGAATTGTATATGTAGAAACTGTTGAATTGGTGTGTGTTCTGCTGTGTATATTCTCAACAGTAGCAACAAAAAATAAATTATTAAAAAAGAAAAACCTTAAGTAAATTCTCAGGAAAAGCTGTATGAAAGATCTATTTTCTGAGTTCTCTTTTGAAACTCATTAGGTAACTTGTTTGACTCTTTATAGAATTTTATGTTGAAAATAATTTTCCTTTAAAACTTTAAGTTTTATTTCTTTCAGCAACAAATTTGATACTCCTCTGGTTCTTTACCTTTTAATGCTTTTAAGATCTTTTATTCAGCGTTACGCTTCTGAAATTTCACAATGCTGGATCTAGATATGAGTCTTGTCATTCACTGGGTGGGAACTAATTAGACTCTTACAATCTGAGTATCATGCCTGTGATGGTTAAGGTTGTGTGTCAACTTGGCTGGGCCATGATTCTCAGTGGTTTGGCAGTTGTCTGATGTTGTGATCACCTCCATGATGAGATTTGATATAATGTGATCACCTCCATGATGGGATCTGCTGTGAGTAGCCAATCAGTTGAAACGGAATTTCCTTGGGGGTGTGGCCTACATCCAATATAGGTGGACTCTTTGGTAAGGCCTGTGGGCTTTTGCTTGCTCTGGATCCTGCAGCTGGCTCCTATTTGTCTGACCTCCAGTTCTTGGGACTTGAGCTAGCAGCTTCCCTGTGGTCTTGCCTGCCAATCTTGGGATTTGTTGATCTTTGCAAACTGTAAGTGAGAGAGCCATGCTCTCTGACATACAAATCTTGGGTTTGCCAGGCCCCTGCATGAACCAGGAGAAGACTCTATCCTGACCCATACTTGATATAAGTTTTTCTCTATATATATTTACATGCTTTGCTGGTTTTGCTTCTCTAGAGAACCCAGCCTAAGACAATGCCCTTTGTCTTTTCTATGAAATTATTCTGATTTTGGAAAAATTCTTCCCTTATTTCTCAATTCTTTCCTCTTGGAATGTCTCATAGTTATATGATGCTAGATCTGTATCTTATCTCTTTTCTTTTAATTTAAAAAAAAATTGATGTACTTGTGGAAGACTGTCTGTAATTTCTCTTCTGGCCAACAGAACATGAACTTTCTGAAAAAAGGGCTAAAATCAAAAGCACTTTGTTTGGTATAACAAGATTGGAGTGTCAGTTGAGCTCTGGAATCTTTCATGCATTCTATTTGACTATGTGGAGCGGGAGGGGGTGGGGACAAAACAGCAAATGAAAAGAAATGCTATTTTTGCAATTTTGCTGAATAACTTTAAGGAGAACACAAAAGTGGAAAGTAGCACCCAACTACAGCTCTTTGCTGAAGAGAAAGAAAGATGACATTACCTCTCACACACACTCACGCACACAGATTTTGCATTACATGGTTTATTTGGCAATTCTGCTATTCTGTTTCTTAATTTTTGCTTTTAACGTTATTTCCATCCTGTTTTTCTTAAATTAATTTTGTTGACCTTGCCAATCAAAATCATTTATTCATTAGTTCTTTATTTTTTAGATTTCCTATCTAGTAATATGAGTAGTTACAACTGTGCATGTTAAGTTCAGGTCAGTTTTGGTCATATCATATGTTTTGATGTGTAGTATTTCATTATTTTAATATTTAGTTTTCATTTTCAGTTTTGAGGACCTCTTTGAGCCAAATATTTTTAGTAGAATATTTTAAAATTTCCAAATGATTGTGTTTCTTTTTAAAATCCATTCTGTGTACGACTATTATGTATTTGTTATTTTATCACATTATGAAGAGAGAATTTAGTTTGTTGTATTTCTACTTTTTGAGTTCTATGAGCTTTTTTATTTGAATGTTCCATAGATATTGGTTTACAGGGTACATAGTTAGATATATTTTATTAGAACACTATTGTTAACTAAGGAGTCCCTGGGTGGAACAAATGGTTAAGTGCATGACTACTAACTGAAAGGTTGGCGGTTCAAACCCACCCAGCAGTGCCTCAGGAAACAAGCCTGGTGATCTGTTTCTGAAAGGTCACAGCCTTGAAAACCCTATGAAGCCGTTCTACTCTGCACATATGGGGTTGCCATGAGTCAGAATTGATTCGATGGCAACTAACAAGAACATTATTAACTATATTATCCTGTTTCTCCTTGCCACTACTTTAGTTTTTGTCTATTTACTTTGTTAAGGACTATAAAAGGTGTGTAACAGTCTTCCACAATTGTTGTGAATTTGTTTATTTTTCTTGTTACAGGTAGTGCCAGACTTACAACATATTCAAGTTAAGACAACCACACTTATGACTGTCTTTTTTTTGTACTTATTGTTAGTAATATGTACTATGTACAATGTTGCCGTGTGTAATTTGCTGATGTTATGATTCTCAAACGTTCATTTGCAGAGTTCAGTGTTATGATTTACTGAACAAAACACTACTGTATAGTAGGCTATGGCCTGGTGTACAATGAAGTCTGTGTCTGTGTCAGAGTAGGGAGTTGTAATGGATGGAAAGTTGGGCAATGTTCAACTCTAACGACAGACGACAACTGAACTGCACAGCTGTCACGACTCCAACTTCATTGTTAGGGCAATGATGCCAAAAAATAAAGATTGGGTTTATAAAGATACCGATAACAAAAGACAATAATAATGAAAACTGAAAAAAAAAAAAAAAAAGAAGTATCTGACAAGTCAGAACTGACTTATGACAGAGTTGTCAGAATGGAACTCCGTTGTAAGTTGGGGACTACCTGTATTTCCTACAGCATTCAAGACTATGTAATTTGAATAGTAAATGTTCACAGTTGATATCTCTTTTGTGGTTCGTAGACATCATTGTGGATTGTAGACTTCAAAATCTGAAAGTGATTGTCATTCAGCCAGCAAATATTTGTTGAGCATCTATCCTATATGTTTGGCTACTGTGTTAGATTCTTTGTCTTTTTTATTTTGCTTTGAATTTAGTTTTGACTGACAATAATACACGAACATTTTCTAGTTTATATCTTTGCACAGTTAAAAAAACTTAATCTTCATAAGTCTCTTGAAATACATATAGCTTTTTGACACAAACTTAGTCTTTTCCTTTTAATAATGATTTTGTATTTCCATTATTGTTATATATACTTATTGTATTTTTCTGTGATGTTATTTTTTACCTTTTTTTTTTTTAAATTGCTTTATGCTTTCTTGGTGCTATTTTGTTTTCTATCTTTTGCTTGTAGCAAAAAAGTCATGCTGTACTTATACTTCTCCTAAAGAACACTAGATGCCAGATGACAATATACATTATACACAGAAGAAAAAAGATGAGACCCCAAAATTCTATACCTAAGTCAAGTTTTCATTCATATGCAGAATCAAAATAAAGAAATCCTCAGATATGCAAGGACTTGGAATATGTCGTAATGCCCATTTAAAAAAAAAAATGCAGGTAATTACATAACCAAACAAAATAAAAGGAGAATAAAATAAAGAACACATGAATAATGATGGATAACACTCAAATGGTGGCTATTAGTGTTTTCAGTGCCTCTACATACTGTCTTAGGCTGAGTTCTCTAGAGAAGCAAAACCAGCAAAGTGTGTAAATATATATACAGAGAGATTAATATCAAGGAAATGTCTCAAGTGGTTGTAGAGGCTGGAACGTCCCAAGTCTGTTGGTCAGGATAGAGGTTTCTCCTGGTTGATGTACCCACAGGGGCTGGTGAACCCAAGATGGGCATGTCAGAGTGCATGGCTCTCTTACTTACAGGTTGCGAAGATCAACAAATCCCAAGATGGGCAGGCAAGACCACAGAGAAGCTGCTAGCTCAAATCGCAAGAACCAGAGGTCAGACGAACAGGGGCCAGCTGCCGGATCCAGAGCAAGCAAAAGCCCGTGAGCCTCACCAGAGAGTCCACTCCACCTATATTGGATGTAGGCCACACCCCCAAGGAAACGCCCTTTCAACTGATTGGCTACTCACAGCAGATCCCATCATGGAGGTGATCACATTATATCAAATCTCATCATGGAAATGATCACAATATCATACGACTCCCAAACCATTGAGAATCATGGCCCAGCCAAGTTGACACACAACCTTAACCATCACAACAGACCATCCCGTTTAATCCTCACAATAACACAATGATGTAGATATTATTATTATCCCAATTTTATATATAGGAAACTGAGGCACAGAGAAGTCAAGTAACTTAGCAGGATTATAAAGGTTATTTGGGCAGAATCAAGGTTTGAACATAGGCAAACACAGACTCTTGAGACTATGTATCTAATCATTATGATTTACTGTGGAAAAGGAGAAGTAAAAATGAGGAAATGTGCTGTGAAAGGGATGCCAGGGAGTATTGAATAATCTTAAACATAGAATGAAGGCTAAATACTAAAGAAATCATGATTGAAAGCCAGAATTTAATTGATTCAGAAGTCACATAATGTAAAGATAATAATTTGTTGATAATACCCAGGGACAAAAATCCCAGAAGGTAACAAACAAGATGGGTTTTTTGAAATGGTAGAAGAAGAAGGGAGGTTATCCAAGTAGAATAAATTATCATGTTTCATGGAAGGTGTTAACATATATTACTTTGTTTTTAAAATTGAAATTATAAATAAAAGCTTAAGATTATTGTTAAAAACTATGAAGGTAACAACCAGTACAAGAAATAAAAATAGTTGAAATACTATGGGAGACAATAAATTGGATATAATCCATAACAAAGTAGGTCAATAACACAAAAAATAATAAGGGTCAAAAGATATATAAACGATCAATTCAGGAGATCCAACATCTGAGTCCTAGAAAGAAAGTCGTGGCAGAAAAAAGAAAACATAGACCATAGATCTACAGATGCAAAACTAGATATTATTTGGTGTATTTTTTATTGCCAGTATAGCCAGGGAAAGGTTGGTACTGGCTCCCCTTCAAGATATGGTCCAGAATTCTACCTTAAGTTCAAGCACTTGGCAACACAAACTCATTTTCTATTATTTTGTGTCCTGTTCACTACTTAAAATATTACAGATACTTCTCCAGCATTCTTTTCAAAGCTGTCTTCACATCCTTGTTCTTTAGGCTATAGATGAGTGGATTCAGCATGGGAGTGACCACACTGTACTGCAAGGAGGCAAGCAAATCAAGGGAGGAACCAGAGGTGGGCATGAGATAGCGAACCAAACCTGAACCAAAGAACAGGATCACTGCAATGAGGTGGGAGGAGCAGGTGGAGAAGGCCTTGTTTCTGCCTGTGGTGGAGCTGATGCTCAGGATGGTGGAGATAATACGGGCATAGGAGATGAAGATTGGGAGGAACGTTGCAAGCCCATGCAGTAAAGTAGAGCAGATCAAGATATTGATATTGTTGGAAGTATCAGAGCAAGACAGAGGGAAGAGAGAGGGCAGCTCACAGATGTAGTGGTGAATAGTTTGGGCCTCACAGAAGTCCAGGTTAATAGCCAAGAGCACAATGACAACTGAATTGAGAGAGGCCAGCCCCCATGAGGTCAACAGTAGCCTCACACAGAGCTGGTTGCTCATCAGCTGTCCATAGAGCAGTGGGTGGCAGATGGCAGCATAGCGGTCATAGGCCATCACAGAGAGCAGGAAGGCTTCAGTCCCTGCAGTGATAAACACAAAGAAGACCTGAGCCATGCAGCCCCCTAGTGAGATGGTTTTCTTCTCAGACAGGAGATCCTCAAGCAGCTTGGGTAGAGTGACAGAAGAGAAGCAGAGATCCAGGAATGAGAGATTGCCCAAGAAGAAGTACATGGGCGTGTGGAGGCGGGAATCTGCCCTGATTACCAGCAGCATCACCAGGTTCCCCATCAGGGTCAGGAGGTAGATCACCAGGAAGAGTACGAAGAGCAGATCCTCAGTGTGGGGGTCAGTAGACAGCCCAGTGAAAACAAACTCAGTGACGGTGCTGTGGTTCCTCAAGGCCATTTATAGAGGATATTTCCTTGGAGTAAAATAGGGAGAGGGCTGAGATCTCCACTGATTGTTTCTGTCTCCTTCAGGGTCTCACTCAATCTTCTCATACATCCCTTCTTGCTCTGCCTGGACTCTGTGCTCAAATATGTCAAGGCTGCTCCATTATGCTGGTATCCCAGAGCTTTTACACTGTTTTGACAGCTGACAATCTTTGGTCACAGTCTTCACATAATTGGGACAATTCAATTCCTGTTCCATAGGGATTTACTGGAAGAATGAACATTCCTGGATCACTTACACATTAACAGCATTTAGCTTCTACTGGACTCTTTCTATCCCTGGTGGTGCCGTAGTTAAGAGCTCAGGCTGCTAACGAAAAGGTCGGCAGTTCAAATTCACCAGCCGCTCCTTGGAAACCCTAGGGGACAGATCTACTCCATTCTATAGGGTCTCTATCAGTCAGAATCCACTTGACAACAACGGCGTTGGGTTTGGTTTGGTTTGGTTTTGACTCTTTCTGTAGTTCAGAAATCCTTAAAAATTCTAGCACATCTCTGCAGTGGTTTTCTAACCCTTCTCTTTTCTCCTTATTTTGCCAATAATTGTTTTTGTCTTTGTTCAAAATTATTCAAGGGCTCCTTACCAGGGATAGCTTACTCATTAGGCACAGTAGGAATGGTGCCATCAAGTTGATTTTGACTCATAGTGACCTCATATCACAAAGTAAAACTGCCTCATAGGGTTTTCTAGGTTGTAATCTTTATGGGAGCAGATTGCCAGGTCTTTCTCCTGTGGAGCCACTGGGTGGGTTCAAACTGCCAACCTTTCGATTAGTAGTTGAGCAATTAACTGTTGCACCACCAGGGCTCCAGTTATTTTAGTACCAAAAAACGAAACAAAATCTGTTTCCATCGAGTTGGTTCCGACTCATAGTGACCCTATAGAACAGAGTAGAACTGCCCCATAGAATTTCCAAGTCTGTAAATCTTTGTGGAAGCAGACTGCCATGTCTTTCTCCTGTGAAGCAGTTGGTGATGTTAGTAGTGATGCTATGTTTAGAAACCTTTTGAACCTTAGTATATGGGGCTATGTAGTAAGTCTGCCATCCATCTGTCAGTTTGCTGCACTGTGATGGCTAGCATGTTGCTGTGATGCAGGAAGCTATGCCACCAGTATTTCAAATACCAGCAGGGTCACCCATGATGGACAGGTTTCAGTGGAGCTTCCAGACTAAGCCAGACTAGGAAGAAAGGCCTGGTGATCTATGTTTGAAAATTAGGCAGTAAAAACTCTATGGGTCACAACAGAATATTGTTTGATATAGTGCTGGAAGGTACTCAAAATAGACAGTGGCTGCAACAATAGACTTGAGCATACCAACAATTGTGACAATGGTGCAGGACCAGGCAATGTTTTGTTATGTTGTACATGGGTCACCATGAGTTGGAGTTGACTTGATGGCAACTAATAAAACAACAATGTAGTAAGTTACTGTCTTATATGAAGACTCTTGCCTGGCTTGGACATTTTTATATTAATTTACCAGTATTCTGCTTTTGTCTGGCAGTCTACAATCTGATCCCATGGTAGCCTTCTGGACTCATAAAACTTTTCAATCCTGCTGATTTAGAGATCCCTGTTACTGGCCCCTCCAGCTTTGTGAGCAATCTATGACCCTGTGATCGCTAATCAATAGAAGCTTAAATTTTAATCCCATTAACAAAGACGTAAGTCGAAGCTTAAATCCGTCTTAGACATAAGTCTAGGTTGGTTACCTGTGAGCCTGGACAAACAGGGCAATGTTCACCTTTGTGTTCTGTAGCACTTTAACTTATATCCAGTGATGGAGAAGGTCTTTTTGAGAATTCTGTAAGGATAAAATTATAAATACCATTGAAAACAAGCATTTTACCTGGAACCACAAAGCAAAGTAAAATGATAAATTGAAACCATCCTCTCCAAAGATTTGGATATTTCAAAGCATTTGTGGATAGCCCTATCCTGAAAGTTACTTCCATTCTTCCACTTCTTCTCATAAGGGGGACCTAACCACAGAGTCTGCAGGAGCTCCAAGCTCTTGTGTTAAGAATACTGTAGCATTTCTGGAGAATTTTTTTTTGTCTTGCTTTACATCCACATTTTCTGTGGACGAAGGCAGCAGCTACGTCTCTCATGTGATTTTCGAGGTATCACAAAGAAAGGAGTATCTCCTCCCTCATCGTTCCTAAACAGCACCTCAAACTGATGTCTAAGGTTTCTTTAATGACCACAGACAAATCTTTTTATTTAAATCCTAGATCAATTAAACATAAAAACAAATTGAACTTCCAGTCACTCTTCAGAAAGGAAGATATTGGCTTCATTTCTTCCGTATGTATAAAAGACTGATGCCAGATTTAGAACATGGATGAGAGCAGGACAAGACTAAAGGAAAGCTGGAGAGGAGTACAAAAGGGAAATGGAGGATTTTAGAAGAGTCTTAGACAAACACCTGTCTCACCATGTTTCCAGCACAGACACTTCATGGCACATCTGATCATTTGATGAATTTCTCCTACAAAGACATGAAGCACGATACTGGGTATGTTCATGATTTTATGGCTTTCAGAAGGTTCACTAAAACAAGCATCTCTCCCATTCAGCTGTATTACAGAAAATTACAGATTTCTTTCACTAGCATAAGGATCAGTAGAAAGTTAAGAAGAAGTAACTCTGAGAGAGTTAATGTCTTGCCAAAAGGGTCAACTACTTGAAAGCAGGTTGCTATAAAATGAGAGATTCTTTATGTGCCTGGTAAAGTGCCTTACCCATAATGGTTGTTTAAAGATATTTGTGGAATGAATAAATGAGTGAAGTGTGTGTGTGGAAGGTCAGCCTGGACAAGATGGCTTGACGGATCCTAGGGGCTGAGGAACAACACTCAGACCCTAGGTGCACAGGGAGGGAATCTGAACTGGGGAGAAAGACATCATTGGTGGAAGCAGAAGGGGACCAAAGGTCATCTTCATCCACTTGACATTATTCTCAGAGCTGTCCTCCCTGTGTTCCCTCACACTATTCACATTGTCTCAGTGGTGACTAGATCTGAGGGTGGTTAAGTAAGATAAAAACTTCACTGCAGTTCCTCTAACTGGATTTCTGTGCAAGGAGGGGTAGAAATAGCCCCAATAGTCCAATGTCTATCTCTGACTTCATTTCATTCCAGGTCTTAACTTTCTGCAATCTTTTGGGATCCAAAAAGCATGATAGGGTTTATATTCAAGCTGGAAGATGTCCCTGTCCCCAGTGTTATGCAAGGAGGGAAGAGAGACCTTTCTGAGAAGATGTTTAAGGTAGATGAGGGAAGAGAGATATCAGGACCCCATGCAGAGGAGGAGATGGTCTGTCAAGGAGCAGCAATTTCCCATTTCCAGCTCAAGGAAGAGAGATGAGTGGAGTAGGAGTCTCAGCTCTAGCATGAATTCAATGGATGATAAAGTGACAGGGGTTGTGGGTGGGGGAGAGAATGAACAGCGAACTAAAACTCACACAGAATTTTCCTAGAAGAAAAATAGGGAAACACAAGAGGATCAGGGAAGATATTACCATGTCCCTGGCTTTTTCTGGAAGTTCCTGTATGTTCTGGTTTCTCCATTATGGGTAGACACATTCTAGGTAAAGTCTCCCCAGAAGAGTCTAACTCTTGACATAGCAGATAACTTTTTCTTCTTTCTGTTAATGAGTGCAGGAAACTGGAATAGTTCGATCTCTAGAAGTACTTGAATTTTACAGAATCAGAATTTTTCTCCTTAATACATTAACCTACAGTGGTATCATTCTGCAGTGCAAATCACTAACGGATCAAGGATAGTTTCTCTAAAGCAAGTTATATTATGAACAACTGGCATATATTTCATTAAAGCTTTCTTGCATGACTCAAGTCCAGTAGCCTGTCGTCTCTTCATTCATTTCATCTGTGAATCTGAATAGTATCCTAAGAACATCTTTTAAAGAAAGACCTCTCCAGTGGAGCCAATCAGAGGCTATCTGTGCTTAGGTAGCCATGGACTGATTCTGACACCCAGGGGAAGCTGCACGAATGCCCTGTATTCCCTGAAGTCTCAGCCTGAAACCATGCTCTAGACTCACTAACTTCACAGTTTCCAGTTAACTAGGAAGTTAAACTTAGTAAGAGGCACAACGGATTCTCTTCATGGCAGTATTTGAAGTTTCTGAATTAAGGCAATTATTTAAATCTTAGAAAAGAACTCTTCTAGGCTTGTGGGGGCTAAAAGAAGAGAGAAGAAAAGGATTAAAAAAATTTATTCTGCTGGAAAATGAACATTTTCTCATGGCTACATAGGGCTGAGAATGCATTTTAGGAATTCTTAAGGGAGCTGAGCTATGACACAATACTGAGGCCCAGGTTATTTTCTAATGTATGAGTTTTTCTTATATTCACAACAGGATTGCCCACTATAATGATTAACTGAGAAAAAAGATAAACCCACCCTAGGAAAACAATTGGTCCTTGAGGTTCTGTTGTTGTTGTAGTTAGGTGCAATGGAGTCAGTTCTGACTCATAGCGACTCTATGTACAACAGAACAAAACGCTGTCTGGTCCTGTGCCATCCTCTCAATCCTTGCTATGTTTGAGCTCATTGTTAGAGTCACCGTGTCAATCCATCTCCTTGAGGGTTTCCCTCTTTTTTGCTGACCTTCTACTTTACCAGGCATGGTGTCCTTCTCCAGGGACTGGTCTCTTCTGATAACATGTTCAAAATACGTGAGATGAAGTCTTGCCATCCTGGCTTCTAAGGAGCATTCTGGTTGTACTTCTTCCAAGACAGACTTGCTCCTTCTGGCAGTCCATGGTATATTCAATATTCTTCACCAACACCATAATTCAAATGCATTAATTCTTCTGTAGTATTCCTTATTCCAGCTTTCACATGCATATGAGGTGATGAAAATACCATGGCTTGGGTCAGGCGCACCTTAGTCCTCAAACTGACGCCTTTGCTTTTGAACAC